AGTTGACCCCCAGACGGGGGATCTTAATGTAGATCCCCCAGACCCGGAGGCTAGGCCGGAGGATGTAGATGAGGATGACCTCTCGTGGATGAGACTGGGCCTCCAGCCAGACAGAGGCCGGGTCACGGTAGTTATCAGTAACTGGAGAAGGATCGAGGGTCAGATAGATGTTGCCTGGCAGAGCCTACATCAATTAATTGTAGATGCATCCCAGGGGCGTAGGAGGATATCTAGGGAAGAACACTATCTGAGAATGGAGGTGGAACTGTTGACCCACATGTCCTTATTGATGCTGAGAAGGGCGGAGCTCTTGATGTCGTTTGAGACCTTGGTGGATCTGAATGCTGAATATTAATCTCCTAAATATAAATATACAATTATTACATTTATTGAATTAATAAATATGAACTAAGAGAGTTAATTATTGCGTTTGAAATTCTGCTGTAGATAAATAAAGCTCGGAGTTTACAACAAGATCAACAAATATCAAACTCAAATTTTTCGGATAAAACTAGTTTATTGTTAATCTAGTAAAGCTGGAAGATTTAATTAGTTAATACAGACAACACTAAAATATCCCTGTTCTCTTGGAGTATATATAATTACAGATTCATATCTAGAGATATAGATATTTAAAACTTCAATACGACAACTCCAAAATATCACCAGTCTCTAATAGTATATATATTATGCAGATTCACAAGCAGAGTTAGATTTTTAATAGATTGTTCTTCCATTTGAAAATATACACAGAATAGCTTAATTAACATAATAACTCAACTAACTCTTTTAATGAAAGATTAGGTTATTGCCAAATGTAAATAAAAGGTTTTCAAACGTTTTGTTACGTATTTTTTTCTAGAGGAATTGAGTCTTTACCACAAACTCAAATTTTCAAATCCCTATATATGCAAATTGAAGTAAACCTTTGATATTTTAAAACTTAGATTATTGGAAACAGAAGAATTCATATTCCTAATGGATTGCAAAGATATAAGGATTAGAAAGTCATGCATGCTGCAGTGGGAAACTCATATATAGATAGAACGGTGCCAAAGCAAAAATAGAATTAATAAAATAATAGAAATAATGTTTCATACTCCAATACTATTTGCCCGATCTACAATGACACCCTTTGAATCTGCCTTTATATGAACTATACAGGGGTCAATATAATTCCCTTTTCAATCCCATTTTGGATTGACAAATTTGAAAGAAATGGGGGCAAATTCTTTAATTGGGGGCAAATTTTTTTATATGATAATTTAAAAAAAAATTGGGGGCATTTTTTTTAAAAATTGGGGTACAATCAATTTTAAAGAGGAGATGATGGATATATCATGCATATTTGATTAGACAGATAATTCAAGGGTACCGTTGTGAATCTGATATACTACTGAATAAATGAAGGGTCACTTGAAGAATACGTCAATATTCTAACAGTCCTATAATATTCCTTGAAATCTGTTCAGAGAAATTATAGAAGGAACCATATAAACAGTATCAACTGCAAATACACACACGGGCAGCCGTAGTACGTTTGAATTTCCGAGCCGGGTCAACCTTTCCAGTCCCAGTTTGTACTGTATTGCCCGGACATTGGGTAAAGAAAGCAGACACTGAATAGGACTAGCCGGTGCATCAAGATTGACGCGGTCAGACTTTAGTTTGAATTTACATAAAGGGTCAGGGGGCGTGCAAAAAGGTCTACTTTTTTGTCACATCTTCAGGACAAAAACAAATCTCACGGATTGATATTTGTCTTGAAACATTCTTTAAGACGTGTGAATATTTGCAAAATATCTTGTTTTCATATCATATGGTCTGAATTCGTTTCCTTCTTTCTATCTGACAACCCATGTATAAAAAAACTTGTTTATTTTCTTGAGTTTTTTTTAACATTCTTTATATGGATTTTTATTTTTATTATTATTATATTGTTAGATCCATGAAAATATATTTTCAAAGTTGAACTAACACCTATTTTATTTTTTTACACTATAAGGTTTGAATCATCATCAACACGAAATTCTAAATCTCTTTGTCTCTATATGTGCTGAACAATTAAACATACTCCAAGACTGTCTCTCCGCCCACACACTGTTCTAAACACCCTTACAATACAATATATACAATATATATTATACACCTGGGGGAGCCAACAGTACTCATTTACTCACAGTTCTTATTCTGCGTTTTACAAGGTGTGTACTGTGTGCACTGTGCACTGTGCATGAGTAGATTGAAAAAGTATAAATGCATTTAACAGATTTTAGTTCAGGTGCATTTATACATTTATGAACAAGGTGAACAAGGTGTGCAAGGAGTTTAAATAGAAAATAATGGAAGAGAGGGGTCTAGATTGTCTTATTATTATCATTAATTTATTACTTCTATCATTAAGTTATTACTTCTATCATTAAGTTATTACTTCTATCATTAAGTTATTACTGTTATCATTAAGTTATTACTTCTTTCATTAAGTTATTACTTCTTCAATGAATTATGAATTTTATCATTAAGTTATTACTTCATTTAATGAATTATAACTTTTATCATTAAGTTATTACTTCCAAATAGATTATCAAGTACAATAGGTGGCAACAGAGAAATGGATCCATTATACACGACGTCACAAGTGTCAAATATAACAAAGATAACGAAATTGTCTCACATTAGTTGACATATTTTTAAAGACTAAATAAAAAAGTGAAAACAAAAAAATAAATAACACATAAAATTGCACCTTTTTTCACTGTAAGATAAGCTCTTTATTCTAAAATTATCACTATTATTAACAATTTTGTCGGACACAAAAACTTAGATTGTCAACCTATTTGATTACTTCTATCATTAATTTATTAGTTTAATCATTATAAATTTCTTCTATTTTACTGGGTACGGTAAGGACCAGAAAACAATTATTCTTCCGTTTACTAAAAAATTAACACATAAAAATAGAGAGAAAAAAGTATATACTTTATACATATCAATATTATAAATAGGATATCGAATAAAGTGCCATGCTACTGTTTTGTTCAAAATCCTATAGATGTAAAGAAATTTTTCATTTGACCCCTTCATAATATTTTTTTTACAAATCTTATTTATAATATATTTCAGAAAAAATGTTTTCTGTGATATCTTTTCTGGCGATGTTTAATAAACGGAGTGGACATCTGAATAAGATCAAAGAATGTAATACAGAAGGAGATACAAACAAAGTGATTGTGCATAATGAAATAGCTCTCAAGACGGAACAAAGCTGCCGAAATGAAAATGAAGTAGATGTGAACATAACAAATCTATTTGATCAGTGCAGTCAGAAGTCCAAAAATACATCACTTAAATTTGATTATCATGACTCCAACGATAGTTTTGCACGGAAATGTAAAGTCAGTCTGGAAAAAGAAAATAGAGATAATTCGAAGGTAAATAATCCAAGAAAAATCTTATATTTAACAGACATTTTTTTAAACCATTATTTTACTGGAGTTAAAAGATACAATTTCTTTATTTACTTGTCATGATTTTACAAAATTTAAAAACTTTTTAATCTAAGAACACGTACATATATATTGAGGCCCATACAGCTGAAGAACAGAAAGACGACATTTATGCAATTTCACATGGATTTGATATTGATTTATAAACAAACTTTTTAAGATAATTACTTAAATCTGAAAGTCGTCTTCTAAGTTCACATGTTTGTGAGCCCTACTGTGAGATAAACGAATGTACATTAACCGCATTATTATGTGTAGAAGGTTTAGCATTACGAAGATTACATGATTTATTTTTAACCAAGCTTTTCTAGAATTGTTATCTATATTAATGTTTATTAAGAAAAAAGAGAAGGCGTTTGAAGAAATTAGTTTCAGGTAAAAATAAAAACAAAGAATAATAGATTACAAAGATTGTATTTTTTGCATCTCCATCACACGTCAAAATAAAGTAAATTACACGGAAGGTTGAAATTTTATATATATATATTTTTTTTTCTCAAAAATACAAGTATTGTAATTCCGGTTTAATTTTGTTTTATAATTGCGCGTAAAATCAAAATTAAACGAGCTACGAGGTCAAAAAGTCGTAACATTAATATCTCAGCAAGTTTACCTTTCCCTTTTGTTTAGTTCAGTGTGATTAGACTATTGTACACATCTCATGACGCATTTTTGGTATTTGGTAGTTTACGTATCAGTAGTATTTTTAAAAGTATATTTTTATTTAAATGTTCAGCAAGCAAAACAGGGTTCAACAAAACGGTAATTTTAATATTAATAAAATTTGGTTCGTGTATCGTTTTTTTAAAATGAGCAAAAAACGAACGATTCAAAATTGTTGACGATCGTTAACATTTTATGAACAAATAATTTTTTAAACAAATTTGAAAAGCCACGGTAGTTTTTACTGAACGAACGATTTTTGAACGAATTTTTTAAATGACTTTATATAGAAATTCTTTAACAAACTTTGAAAAAGAAAAACGAACGAAATATGCGGAAAATAAACGAAAATTCTGAAAACGAGCGAATTCACTTTTGAACGAGAGACAGATATGAGTCGTTTACAACTGATGAATGAGCGAATTGAAGAAAGTTGGACACATCCCCAGCTCTAACTACAAGGCTTAATTCCCACATGTGCGCTCTTTAAAATACCTCTACTCTGTGGTAGTGTTAACACTAAAATAATTTATACACACGTAGCTGTCTTAATCTTATGTATTCAAAATGTGAATGACAGACGTCAGAGAAGAATGTGATGTATTTTATCATCATAGAAAACCAGAAAATATCATTAAAGAATAATGAATTAACAAAAAGCTAAATTTTCCAATTAAAAGTGTGGTCTATAAACTCATAGGAAATTTCTACGTTCATCCATTCATGAAATTGAAGATTTAGGTAGCAAAGAATAAGCTTTAGAATACCAATATCTTAGCAAAAAGATTGTTTACTGTGAACGATAGAAAGAATCCAGACAGAAAAGATATTTAAATATTAAAAATTCAAAACATTTTTCTTCTTCAATATTTTTGATTGAAATTTGAATTTTACATGAAATTTACATTAGATTGACTTGTGTTAGTCAAAGTAATTTTACATGAAATTTACATTAGATTGACGTGTGTTAGTCAAAGTAATCTTACACTCCAATTTACATTAGATTGACGTGTGTTAGTTAGAGTAATCTTACACTCCAATTTACATTAGATTGACGTGTGTTAGTTAGAGTAATCTTACACTCCAATTTACATTAGATTGACGTGTGTTAGTCAGAGTAATCTTACACTCCAATTTACATTATATTGACGTGAGTTAGTTAGAGGTATCTTACACTCCAATTTACACAATACTAATTGCTTTTTGAGCGCTTTGCGCCTATCTTTAGTTAAATTGTGAACATTTTCTCTTTCTATACATGTAAAACATTAAACATCAATAACAAACAAAGTTCGCGAATTTTATAATAAAATTACATGGATTTTAAAAATTTAATGAAAACTGAATTTTGTTGGAAGCTAATTCGGGCCTGATCGTTCAGCCGTTTTGACGTTTATTGGTTAAAAACAAACAGACAGACAAGCAAAGTATATATTTAGAAGAAATATAGTCAGATTTACATGAAATTACTGCTTTATCTCGTAACTCCTTCAGTAGCTTTACATCCATAAGATTGAGGAATGAATACTGAATACTAGACGTTTCCAAAACATCCTTCAGAAAATGGCTTTGAAAAATTAAAAAAAGTTTTTTGTTTAACTTTGTTTTCTTGATGAAGTATTCAAATATGTAGTATATTTCAGTGCCTATACTTAAATATGAAATACAAAAATGGGGGGGGGTAGGACATTTATAATAACCCTTTGTAAAATTAGGTAATTAGCACAGTGATATTTTGAAGACCGAAATCTAAAATTTAATAATGCTAAAATTATTTTTGAATATTTGTTAAATATTACAGACAACGATGAGGTATGTTAAAAATAAACAAATATTTAGAAAGAATTTGAGTCTTTGCCTCAAATTTAAAATTTCTAATCCATTCCTTAGCAACCTAATGGCCGGTGAAAACCTGTGATATTTCAAACTTAGAATAGTTGATCTATCACAATTTATTGTTTGAAACCTCTAAGGTCTACAACATTGGGATGCAAAGATACAAGGAATAGAAAATAAGAGTTTGTGGCAAAAAAATGCTTTTATCACGATTGAACGAACATACATGAACCGATTATAATTATTGTATCGTAAATAATAAACTCTTAAACTCGATATCAAATGTGGGTACTTTGGAATTCGAGATCAATAAATGCTAGATCCTTGAATTAAAGATATATTCCTCCAGTGTCCGAATTTAATGAATTTGAGCCACCGCCTAAATCTGCCAAAAACCGGTTTCAATTGAGCGCCGGCATAAATCTTGAAAAATTGAATGATTAAGTGGAACCAACCATATTTGAGCCGCTGCTTAAATTCTTTAAATTCGGCCTCAGGGTATGACCATCATGAGCTATCGAAAAAGAATTAAGTTAATCCGTAGGTGTGCATAAGACTTAAATCAATACTTGACCCAGAGATCCAAAAGTTTTGATTTCAGCTTGATTTCAGGATGAGACATACAGAGTTGAGAGATGAGATTTCAAGTTTATATTGTGTATTGGATCTAAAGAATCAACAGGTTGAAAACAAAAAGAGCAAAAATAGAATAAACTATTTAAAAATAATCCAGTTTTAAAATCTTGCTTATAATTCTAATTCCAATGGCCAAAATAGTATAACCTAAAACTCACTAAAATTAAAGATACTTAAAATAATTCTGAAATCTATACAAACTAGTATATTTTTATATTTTGAAAAAAGTCAATAAAACTCCAAAGCCTTTTATTCCTTAAAATACGAATTCTCATAACGTTTTTCTAATTACATATTTCAATGTTTAGTTACAACTTACATTTAAGTTAACATTCAAGAATATTAAGCATGAATGCTATGCAATATTTTTTTTAATTTTTAAATATCATGAAGCTTCAAGATTGTTTACTAAACAATACTTATTTTCGATCCTCACGTTTTATTTGAAAATATTAGATAAACAAACCATAAATGGGAGATTTAATATTTAAAAATTTCTTTGATGCTTTCAATGGAAAATTTTACGATGAATGGTTTAATACAATCCAATTTTATCTTCGCCCACAATGGGATGAGAGTTTATTTTCTCTTAGAAATTAGATACGGGATTAGATACGGGATTACTCTCTACATAAAACAACATGGACACTTAATAAGGTTTTTTTTCTAGGCTTTTGGACACACATAGATTCAGCCTACTATGAAAAGTTTCAAAGTTGTATCAATTTACAAGACGGGTCAACTTTGAAGTGTCGAAACGCCTTTGGCTTTGAACGCTCCACTTTTACTTTAGTGTAGCCCTAAACATTAAGCTTTAGAGCTTTCAAGCACATGTTTTTTGCTTTAGTTTTTAATCAATAGTTGGCAAAATTCTTATCAATATTGGTGTAAGAGCTTGTTACCTTTAAATCAAAGTTTACAGGGCATTGCACGTTCTTGATATTTTTTAATCGTTTGTTGAACGTTCGTTAACGGTCTTGAGCTTGGTCGTTTTTTCCTTAATCAACATAAATTGTTCAAAAAAAATCGTTTCTTTTTCATCAACTACTTTTCATGATATATACTTTCTTTAACGTTTATATTGTTTGGTGTTTACAATGGAGGATCGCTAACGATAATTTATTGTTGTAAATATGTGTACATAAATGTTTGTGTTCCTATGCAAGTATGTTAGAATGTGTTAAGAAAATATGTGTTAAGAAAATATGTGTTATGAGAATATGTGTTAAGAAAGTAAGTGTTAAAAAATACTAAAAAAATAAAAAAACTAATTCAGAAAGAAACAAAGAAATTTAGTCTTAGCTACAAACTGTATTGTTACCTATATCTTTGAAACCCAGTGTCTTGGACATTAGAAATTTCAAACTATAAAATCTGTAAGATCAAATAATCTAAGCTTTATAATATCAACTAGGTTGCAAAGATATAGGGCTAAGAAAAATTGAGAAAATTCCTTACTTTACCGTAGATTTTTATTTTTTTAAATCATTGCTTTTGATGAAAATATTTTTATGAATGATTTATCATAATTCTTGCTCTTTTGTTCGCCCACAATGGAATGAATGTTTATTTACTCCTAATTAAATAGATGCAGAGATGCGTATGAATAACTGGGAGCTGACGGATTTTTAATTTGATTCAAAAAATATTAATTTTTAATCCTGACGTTTTATCAAAAAGTTACTATACTCTCTTAATGACTGAGGCTGAATGGTAAAGTAAAAATGTTTTACAGTTTGATGCACAGAACACAGGCTTATGATATTCCAAACTTGGAATTTTTGATATGGCAAAAATAATTCGTTGACATATGGAAAATCGACGATATCCGGTTGTAAAGAGGAAATGATAAAAAGTGCTCTGTACTCAAAGTACAACTGTGAAAAAACAACATCTCAAAACATGTTCTTAATATCACAAAAATAGAAATTGAAGATTTAGTAATGATTAATATGAAGATCTCCTATCATACTGGAATTTGGACTATAATAATTTTATAAATAACGATGATGATCAAGTTGGATGATGTCCATAGAAATTGAGTTTTGTCACAGTCGCTGTTTTTGAATCTGTATATCTTTGCAACAACTTAGATACTTCGAACTATAGAATTCTGTTAGATAAAATATATTATAAATATTAAACGTGAGGTTGCAACGATTGGGGGATTAGAAAATATTAAGTTTGTGGCAAAGACTTAATTCCTTCGAAGGAAATATTTATCTATCTTAACAGAAACTCAATAGTTAGATAGATATTCATCAAACTTAGTACATTTAGCATGAAAGTCCAGCTCTGAAATCCTATATGATGTTGATAACCTGTATGTTTGTTAAGATTAGGAGTCTGCAGAACAGATTAGAAGAAGAGAAGGAAACTAAAGAACTATTGAACCGAGTACAGGTTTAACCTATAATGTTTTTAGTCTTAGAAAAGTTGTCAAAAACCTTTGAACAAACTCAAACTTTCTTATTCCTATATCAATTGTAACCTGATGGTGGAAATCTAATATCTATATTCTATATATAACATTGGCTTGTCTGTCTGTTTGTCTGTTTGTTTGTTTGTATCCAATAAACGTTAAAACTGCTGAACCGATCTGGCCCAAAATTTTTGTGGGACATCACGTGACCACAGGGAAGGTTTATGAATGATCAAAATTTCAAATATTTGTCTCCATCAAAATTAGATCTTCATTAAATTGTTGAAAATTTTGAAAATCCGCGAATTATTTTTGTTTTGTTTTACGATGTACACAAAGAGAACATGTTCACAATTAATTTAGAAGATGGGCGCGAAGCGCCCTATAAGGCTAGTATTTTAAACTTAACAAACTAACTGCGTTCATAGTTTGAAATATCTAAGGTCTTCGACATTCGGTGGTAAAAATATAGGTATTAGCAACTCTGCTGAGTTTGTGGCAAAGACTCAATTCCTTCAATTATGATTTTTCAATTTTAGAAGGAATTGTCTGTTTGTAAAGGAGAAGTGGAGAATCTTAAAGAACAGCTGACAAACAAATCTGCTGATATTAGGTTAGTATATAGATATTTTGATAATAGATTAGTTATTAGATCAGCTGATATAGGGTCGAAAATAGATTTGCTGATAATAAATTAGTAAAAAGATTAGCTGATAATAGGTTAGTAAATAGATTAGCTGATAATAGGTCAGTAAACAGATTAGCTGATAATAATGGTAGAAAATAGATTAGCTGATAACAGGTCAGTAAACAGATTAGCTGATAATAATGGTAGAAAATAGATTAGCTGATAATAGTTTAGTAAATAGATTAGCTGATAATAGGTTAGTAAATAGATTAGCTGATAATAGGTTAGTAAATAGATTATCTGATAATAGGTTAATAAATAGATTAGCTGATAAAAGATTAGTAAATAGAATATTCTGATAATAAGTTTTGAAAAATAGATTAGCTGAGAGAAGGTTAGTACATTTCTCTGCTGATCATATGTTTGTCAATAGATTAGCCGATCCAGGTTTGTAAATAGATCAGCTGATCAAAGGTGTATAAATAAACTAGCTGATTGGTCTGTTGATTGTGTGTTGGTAAATAAACCCGCTGATTATAATAATCAGAATTAGATACTTTTAAATTAAATCTAATTTGGTTAGTTTAAAAAACCATTTAAAAGTTCAAATATCTTATAAAATGTAAAGCTGGGTAATTTAAGTCTAATTGACCTTAATTAGCTTAATTACCGTAAATACCTTAAAATATTCAAAACGTGAACACGTTTTTTTATAGGGAACTCAGTTCTAGAAATGCGCTTCTTCAAAAAAGTCTAAATAGGTGAGAATATATATTTTAAAGAGGAAAATGGTAAATTCCTTAACCCTATCCCAATTGGGCTATTTTTGTCTAATATAATGGTTTTGTCCCGAAGACTTAAGATATGTGAAGTGACATGGACCTAGTCCAACTTTTCAAGGCAAGCTCATTTAAAAAACAAGACCTCTAACTATTATAGAAAGGGGGCTAAGGAGGGTACCTCGGAAAAATGTTAAAAAAATAATTATTTTTTATTTTGACAAATGTTAACATCTGACACTAGATGTTACATCCATTTTTCAAGGGCTTTTCAAATAAATAAATTTCAAGATTGCAGAAGCTTAATTTGAAAAAGTTATTGAGTATTTTTGATTTTTTTAAACACTGGCAATGGCCGTGTTATCGTCCTCCATCCTACCCCACGCATTTACAAAATGTTTATAACTATGAAGTTGAAAAAGCTAAGAAGTTTGGGCGTTCTAATGTAAGCAGTTTTTAAGTTGTTAAAAAAACTATGGGTTAATAGGGTTAATTGTCTAATTTTTAATAAAGTATATTTATTAAAAGTTAATCTAAGATTTTAATTGTTTTCAGAGAGCGAAAAAACTGTGAGCTTTTGAGACAAACCTTAGATGAAAAGATGTGGAGGAAAAATTTTGCCTGGGTGCAGGAGGAATTGTAGAGTTATAGTTAACTTAATAATACAATCTTTAGTTTTTTATTGCTTTTGCACTTTCATAATTTGACATTATACACTTAAAGCTTCTTGGCTTAGAATTGTAGAGTTATAGTTAACTTAATAATACAATCTTTAGTTTTTTATTGCATTAGCACTTTCATAATTTGACATTATACACTTGATGCTTCTTGGCATAGAATTGGTAGGGATTTGTGTGTATCAGAGAAATGTAAAATAGTCAATATTTTTTTTTTTCTTTAAGCTACAGAACTAAAAACATGTCGCACACATTAACATTCATAATAAAATATATATTAACATTTTTTTACATTATCCCAAAATAATTTTTAAAACTTTCTCAAAACCTCCCTAGACCCCTTACCATTAAATTTAAAAAGGTCTAATTTTTCTGAGAAAAGAAAAATTAGACCTTGAACCTTTTTTTGTACCTTCATACTTTTACTCTGCAGAGGCCTTTTTCTGATTCTGAAGCAAAAAATGTGCAAGTTTTTTGAGGAGAAACGGCTTATGAAAAAAATCATTTTTTGTAAAAACAAATAATAGATATCATCGATTTCGCTCTCGAATGGCCAAAGCTATTCAGGGTATCGTTGTGAATTATGTGTTCACAGTTCATTAAGCATATCTATGTAATAGTATATATCATTTCAATTCTTGGATAAACAGAAAACTTTGGAAAAGGAAAATGACTTTTAGACTCAAGTTACTACTTTAAATAGTTCAATGATTATGAGTTATACAATCATAATTATTTGATATTTAATAAATAAATGTATTCTACAAAAATATTTTAATTTATTTCTAAAGTAAATAAATGTCAATGATGAAAGCTTGTATGATTATGTCAAGTAAAACTAGATGAAAATAAGCTCTGCATTGTACCGAAGTTGTATATTTTACCAGTCCTCATCATCATCTCCAAACATGTTTAGATAAACTCTTGTTTTTTGTTCCTCTCTTGCTTCAGTAGCGATCATCTTCATCTGCATGAACGCATTGTGCATTGAACGATCATCTTCTTCGATCATCATTTCCATCGGAGCTTTACAGAGCTCAACTACTTCATAGCAGACAGGGTTTACCTCATTGCTCTGAAATCCTGCCTCTCTAAGAGCAGGAATAAGAGCGCAGGTTGCTGACACGTGTTCATAATCGATCAAGGTCCTGGCATAGCTCCGTCCAGGGAATAGGACTGCTCCCATGTCCAGCAAATCTTTGCAATAGTCTTTCTTCCTCCTCAACCAATCCACCTGGGGGAAATAATAATCCTTGTGGTATTGGTAAATATAGGATAGTTTCTTCTTTGCATCAAGAATCAACTGGGAATTGTTTGGCACTTCGCTCCAAACTCCTTCGCGCTTCAAAATATTTTCATAAAAATCAGCTGTGCCAACTTTAGGATCTTTCTCAGCTTCATCCAGAATCTTTTGAAGTTTTTCTAGCGTGGCAATGCATTCAGCTCCAGACTTCTTTTCTCCACATGTAGAGCATGTCCACTGGTTTGTGGGTTGATGGTGGTTTGAGGGAGACATATAACCACTGCAATGAGAGCAAACCAAGCTTCCGTATCCAGTTCCATATTCTGATCCGTCTTCACATCTACTGCAGTTACAAATCAAACCTTCTTCTTCCATCAGCTTCTGCCTAAAGTAAGTGCACTTATCCAGAGGAACTCGGCATGATGTAATGGCCTCACCAGCTTTGATGTGCCTGGCAGCCCTGTAAAGGCAGAAACCAGTTGGTAGACCAATAAAGTATGTGTTTGGGGAACAGCTGTGCTCTATATTTGATGTGTCTAAGTAGACGGCTCTGGATCCGCAGTCCAATGGAATGTTATATCTCTCAATGAAACAAATTGCCAGTTTAATCACATCTTCTGGGGCCAAGACAAGTGTTTTAATCTTGTTCACAATTTTGTTATCACTTTCTTTTCCGTATTTATTTACATTTTTCTCCAGGATTTTGGACATGTCCAGTTTTAATCCTTCGATTGATTTTCTGATTTCTGGATTTGATTGAATTTTCATCACAAGACGGAGAACGTGGATAAAGTCATAATCTTCTGAAACCTTTGAGAATCCTTCCTTATCACAAGCTTCCTTCTGTAATATTTTACACTCAGAAGAATGATTTAAAGAAGTTTGACATTGTTCGGAGCAGATTGGCCAGGAGCAGATAGAGCAGGCAATCAAACCTTTCTCAGGTCTTAGATTACAGCCCAGGCAGACAGGAAGTTTACTCCGCCCTGGACCTAAACAATGTAAATATTAAAAATAAAAAAATCAAATTTGGTGTTGCCAAAAATATTTTCATTCTTGCATATACTACATCGCAACACATAAAACTGTGGTATAGAGAACCGCATAGATTAATAACAACACAGATAGAACAATAGATGTCGTTTTTTCAAGATTTAGGCGTTTTTCATTTACAATAACCCAGAGGCAGAAGCCCAAAGAAGTTACGCGCATGCTCTCTATCTGTCTCGTAATTCATCGCGGCAGAAATCCTTTAGGCCTCTGCCATCAGGATTTCTGTTTTTGTGAACGAAAGATCTTTGGAAATAAGTCTTTGCCTTTCCAATCCCCAATTTCCAATATCAAAGTTCTACGCCATCAGGTTTCAAAGATGTAAGGATTAGAAAATTTGAGCTAGATAACAATGACTCAATTCCTTAAAAGACGATTCAAAAATAAATTAAGAAAAGCATGATGAAAATTAAAAAACAAATACAATGTAACAATACTTCATACTTAAAATTACTAAAATGTAAGTTATATACCGTGTACGGTGTATTTCAAGTATATCAAATATTTACTAAGATTTTAAGACCTAAATTGGATAAGTCAAGATAAATCATTCAATTTTAAAACCAAAATTTCGGATTGTTATATAAATACTTTTTTTGAATGTCACTCTTGTATGCTGGTCCATTAGCGCCTGATCCAATCAGGGTTCAGTCATGTATTTGTTGTCTATTCAGAACCAATAGAAATAGTATGGCGGTAACAGCTATCTTTCTATCTAGCTCATTATCCAGTACGAGTTATAAATTCTTCAATCGGCGCTATCAGTAAATGAAAATATTTAATTCTACTAAAACTATAGTGCCAGATCAAAACTTAACAAAGTTTATTTTTATTTATATATTTTTATTTATATATTTATATATTTTTATTTATAAGTTTATTTATCTTTGGAAACCAATGGTTTAGACCTTAGATATTTCAAACTTTGAATTCTGTTAGATCTAATAATCGTAGTTTGAAATGTCAATACAGGATTAAAAAGTTTGCAGACTCAATTCCTTTAGGTGACCATCCATCTAAAGATGGATATGCTGGATTAAAAGATATGGAAGATATCGTCGTTTAACTGAGAAGATCCTACAGTATTGTTTTGCAAAAACCCTTAATCCATTTAAATACAGAAATCACATTTTGAAATAAACTGTTTAAAAAATCATGACCTATCTAAACAAATTAAAAAAAAGTAGATTTAGCTCATTTATTCTTAATCCTACAAATACTTTTGATACCGTTGTGAATCGGCCTTACCTGCTGCTAGGGGTTGCAGGGAGAGAACAATATCTCCTGTGGATAGATCCTTGCTGGCAACAAGATTTCCAGATTCAGATTTTCTATAATTTCTCACTTCCTCCATTCTTCTCCTCCCCTCTCTATATACTGTTTACTTTCTTTTTGTTGTGTTTTGTTGAACTGCTGCAGGTCAGCTTGATTATCTAATATATATGGGCTGGGATTCTACTAGAAGAATAGAAAGCAGGGGAACAGATTTTTCTAGATTTATCCAGGAGCAATTATTATGCAATATGTTTAACAGGAGAGTCTTTTATACAATTCAAACAATTGCAAAAATAATTAAGAAAAAATCCGCTCAAATAGGGACAAATACCATAATTCTTGGTGTTCTCTACATTATTGTCAAAGAAATGTTTTTATTATCAAAGGAAGCCGCATGATTACCAATAAGATAAGAATTTAATAACAATTTAAAAATTTTTGAATATTACCAGTTTTAATTTTCGTTAAATTGCATATTTAGCATAAAAGGATTAGTTCATAGAACTTTTCGTGCTGTGCTCCTCCATTGACGAAGGATCATTAAAATATTTGTATTTTTTAAGGAAATTACAAGGTTACCCATAAGGATGAGACTCTACAGACGACCGATCAGAAAGATTTGAAAATTAAAAAACTCAATTAATTAATCTTGCCAATTTTGCCCTGAATAGTCGTTTCATCGTTGATAGGCGATTATAACAATATAATGAAGACGACATTTTTAAATTCAAGTTTTAATTTTTAACAAGCTTTTTTGAATTACAAGTTTATAAGTAATTAAAGAAAAGATTTTTTTAATTGACAGCTTCTATTGTTTACATGTTTTTGTGTATCCATGCTGTTAATAAGCTTGATATGAATCAAAATTGAAATAAAAAGTCGTCTTCATTATATTAATATAATCGCTTACCACCGTAGTATAAAAGTTAAAGTTATTGAAAAAAAAAGTTACATAAATTGTTAATAATGTCGTCTGTGAAGTCTGAACCCTGTAACTTTCTTGCTATTAATTAATAGCTATTTGTTTCTCAACGTTATATGTCCAATTGTTTTAACATTCTGATCATTCAATTATTAAATTTAAAATGTTTCAGTACTGTTTTATTTTGATGAAAGTGTCATAAAAAGTTATCATCTCCGTTTTCTTGAAAATTTATTCATAATTCTATTCTTATTTATTACGAGGGATGTTCAATAAGTTTTGCGAAATTTTTTCTAAAGGTAGTTATAGACGTCTCAGCCCTCTAAAATTGTTTTAAAAATTTCTCCATATTTATACCAGTTCAGTTTTCCGACTAGCTAATGTCGATCAGATAATATGATGGACGCTAATAGCTTTCCCTGGATCTCGTGAACGATGCTTGTCACAGCCTAAATATCAACAGACCAACCCCCCTCCCCCTCCCCCGACTCACGGAAAAGTTCGTTAATTAGATCGACCCCCACCCCAACTCAATATTCACACATCTACACAGTTTGTTTTTAATCTTTGTGAAGAAACAATCTCAAGGAATAATAATTGTCTAAAAACATTTTTTTAGAAAGTGAATATTTGCAAATTATCTTTTTCCCATCTCATAATCTGAGTTCTTTTCCCTTATGTCCATTTGACAGCCCAAATTTTTATTTTGAATAATCTTTTTGTTTGTTTATATTCTTGTGATTTTTACATTTTTTAAATTTTTTTAATCGATTTTGATGGTTATTATATCGTTAGAACTGACGAGGGTCAACCCAGACCGAAATATATTTTCAATAAATGTGGAACTAACATCTACTTTTTTACTCTACAGAGGTTTGGTCCATCACCATCACTGAATTTTAAAACTTTATTCATTTCAGCGTGTTCTAAAGGTTGGGTCAAAGGAGGGTAAGCCTTTATTGTAGAAAGGGTCCTTGAAGGTTTTTATAGATGTAATCTACATTAAATCAATTAAACAAATAAGTATTATTTCCAGGACCTCTGTCAAGCAAATGTTGTCCAAAACTTTGCAATTTTTCAAATCTTGCTTTACAACTTTGTTTGCAGCACCATAGCAGATGTTAAACTCATGAAAAGTCATCAACTAAGAAGCCTTGCAAATTTGGTTTGAGAAACTTTCAATTGTGTCGACTGTTTGTGGGGTTTTTTCGGTGGTTTTTTTCAATTTTATTTCGTTCTCAAAATTATCATTTATTTTCCATCTATTCAGTTCGTTTTCTCACTGATCCATCGTTCAGTAAAAAAGAAATAATAAAAAACGATCTCTGGACTGTGCATGGAGAATGAAGAATATAAATTTTAGCTCGAGCTAATCCTAAATTTGGTTTCAGAGATTATTATGCAGGTCATTGTATAGAAGATCAAAAATTTCAATTTCTGAAAAATATTTAAATTTCAAATTTTAAATCAGTAGGGCTTTATAGCTAGTAGGATATTGAATTTCTATTAACACCGAGAAATCACCATTAGCACTTTTTTTTGCGAAATATCTCAACTATTAACTAAGGGTGCAGTGGGACCCAAACACTGTGGAATTCGGAGACAAAATTTAAGCAATCTTTCGAGCATATTCATTAATTTTACTTGAAACCCAACTTTTTAAGTAAAATGGGTTTTTTGGCACAATTACTTTGTCTGATGTCAATGTCAAGTAATTACAGTCGTCTTCCTATTGTACAGTTTAATGGATCTTACTGTAGCAAAATGTAAGAAAATTGTATCAAAACCATGAATAAGGTCAGAAAAATATTAAGGATGATTGAAAAATTTAAGAAATTATAGAAAATATGAACATAACCAAGGATGTTTGGAAAGGGCTAGAAAAATCAAGGAGTTTATAAATAAAGAAAGAAAGAATTACATTAATCAATGAATGGAGCAGACGGGACAAAATATCAGGCCGAGAATAATTTAAAAAATAAGTAGAACATTTTTCGAATACTAGGCGTTTCAACAATTTGAGGTTTTGTGTAAAAACAGAAAGTTGTATTAGTCTAAATACAGGGTGTTTTAATAGTGCATGATCTAAATACAGGGTGTTTTAATAGTGCATAATCTAAATACAGGGTGTTTTAACAAAGAATGCATTGGGGAAAAAGGGGGAGTTTTAATAGTACATGATCTAAATACAGGGAGTTTTAACAAAGAATGCATTGGGTAAATACAGAGATTTTAATAGTGCATGATCTAAATACAGGGTGTTTTAACGATACATGGTCTCAAAACAGGGAGTTTTAACAGTATGGTCCGAATAAGGAGAGTGTTAACAGTGTGTGGCCTTTATACTGGGATTTTTAAAAGTGCCAGGTCTGAATACGGAGAGTTTTAACAGTGTATTGTCCTATTGCTGGGAGTTTTAACAGTGCCAGGTCATAACACGGAGAGTGTTAACAATGTATGTTCTTAGTGCTGGGAGCTTTAACAGTGCATGGTCTGAATACAGTGTATGGTCTAGAATGGTGATTTACTTGAAGGGAACATTTAAGTCTCCCTGAGGAAATGTAGTTTTAACTGTGCCTGTTTTATTACGAGATTTGTTAACAGTGCATTGTCTGAATGAAGGAAGTACTCCAGAATAGGATACCTTTAATCCCATTCTGCGGAATCCGAATATCCAATGTGGACACTTTTAATTTCTTGCTTAATCCACTCTTTTATGGATATAGTACAGACAAATATAAAGCCGATTTTTCAAAATTAGAGAGTCCCTCCCGTTTCTGTATATTAATCTTTAATGGCGCGCAAAGTTTCAAATTTCTCGGCTTCTAAAACGCGATTCTGATTGGTTGAATTTTGTATACACTTTTCACGGATAAAGGTACAAGATTAGGTAAGTCTCGAGATTAAGAAAAAGAGAGAATCAAGCATTGATCTCGATATCTACCATTCTAAAGTTCTCAGCTCAGGTAACATTATTCTACACTCAACAGGTTGTCATGAGAACCATAATCCAGAGCAAACCATCAATCAATGAATCAGATCCGGAGCTAGTAGGTGAGAGTCGAGGATGAAAATATTATGCAGGGGGCAATATTCTCTCACTAATCTAGTACTTTTCAAAACATCCCGGAATAAAGAAATATTCAACTTAAAAAAAATTAAATTTAAAAATCTGAAAGGTAGGGTAAGAAGGGGGGTTGGAGAGGGTATATAAGTTTAGAAATATATTGTAAGGTTTAGTTTAATCCAAGATTTCATAAAGAATTAAGTAATACAAAATATAAGCAAATTTAATGCACAATGATCTAATTTTTTTACTTTTACGCATAATGGATTATCCATATATACAAAGGAGGAAGGTGTGGGGGGATGCAAATATGTTAAATACAATGGCATTATACAGCTTTTTAGCAGAGGTAGCAGGGGTAGAGGGGAGGGGGCAAGTTTTTTAAAACATAATGCTTTAAAAGAGGAATATAATTTCTGGTGTGCATGCACCCCCATGCTTTAATTCAAATAAATATCGAAATGTTGGCTTATTTCTTAACCCTATTCCCGCTGGGGGGGGGGTCAATTTGACCCCCCCCTGTAGTTTTTTTTACATAACTCAAAAAGTATTGGTCTGAGGCTGTTGAAATTTTCTGACTTTTCTTACATACCCAAAGCCCTCCCTTTAGGTCTAAAACCGGGCTTTAATACTAACTGCCTGAGTCCTCAGGCACACTGCCTGAATGACTGCTTTTGCCTGTAGCAAACTAAATCTTTGTTTTGACCCACTTTCACTTGTCAGATTTTGATAAAATTTAGCTTTTTGGAAAGCCTATGACATAAGGAAACGGATTGCACAAGTTTTGCGAAAAAAAATTGCAAATTTTTTGCAAACAACCTGTCAAAGGAAATTTGCACATTTTTAGTTTTTCTTGATTAAAAATCAGGTTATTTAAAATTTTGCAAAAATTTTTGCATATTTGAAATGGCATGGTCAAGGGCTTTTCAAAAATGTATAATTTGTCATTTTTTGGACAAATTTTTTTTTGCAAACATTTTTACTATAAAACTGGATTTTGCGATAAAAAATTCAATTTTCGCAAATTTGCAAATTTTTTTGCAGATTCTGAAAGTAGAGCACAAGAGCTTTCTAATGATGTATCATTTGTCATATTTGGACATAAAACATGGGATTTAGAGGGGGGGGTCAAATTGACCCCCCCCCAGCGTATCCTGGTTTTCAAGTACCCCAGCGGGGATAGGGTTAATAAAAAGCAAATCGGCATATGTCTTTATTCATAATCTAATTATTGGGATAATGCTCTTATGTGTTGATGTTGAAAATTATGTTCTCCTCTTTTATTAGATTAGAAAATAAATCAGAAGTATGCAGAAAAATTAATGCTAAGAGAATCAGAAAACATATTTAAAATATTAAATATTTTAAACGTTTGTGTTGCATCAAAATTTGAAGTTCTTGTTTTTATTCTTTATGCACGTTACAATTAACTTATAAAACATTCCATCATTAATAAAATCTTAGTCTTATTTATAATATGTATTAATTCTTAAACATTTAAACAGTTGGGTCGTTTCCTTTCAGATGGAAGTTCAGAGAAAACTAAAAGTGTTTCATGATTTCCTCGATATTTCTGCCACTCAGGTAATAATGGTCACAAAATGGGCGAAGGAAACCGGAACTTATCCAATTTTTTAATATTAAGTTTTTTAGAAGATTATCACGAACAATATTTAATAAATAGACCAAGAAAAAACCTTTTCTCTAGTGCACCAGTTCAAGTTCAAAAGAAGTGGTTAAACTTATTCTACGTAGTTCAGCTTCTTAATTTCGCTATTTGTTACAGTTGTTCCCCTTTAACATAATTTTACACTGGTTTTTGACACAATTTGTTCAGACTCTGAACACAATCAACATGGCGCGAGTCCCAAGCATCAAGCAGAGAAACCATGCCGGCATTCCCTCGGACAAAGACGACATTAAAAAGGAAAACACGTGGTGAGTGACTCAAAAGTACATTTAAAGATATCATTGTTACAATTGGTCAAATATCTTTTCCAAATTAGCAGTTATTAGTGTTTCACATTAAAATATATCACTCTAGAAGGGTTCTGAGGGAATGATTTATTTGGTGTATAATATTGGGACATTTTAAAATTTATACATGAGTACAGAAAACCGTGTATTAGGAAGACGACATAAAAGCAATAATTAAGCGTATTTGATGTGTTAAAAAGCAAAAACTTTTTATCTGTGACTTCCTTTTCCTAAGTTTTCTGGTTCTCATTGTAGCCTGGTTACACAAAAATTGTGCACCTTGATCTTTCTGCCTTAAAGTCGGTCCTGTGCTTCAATGTACGTCCAACCAGGAAATTGAAAAAGATTAATCTCATCAAAAATATTCAATTTCAAAGGAATATCAGATCCTCTGATGGCTGCATTTTTGTTTTAAAAACAAAAAATAAAATTAAAATTCATTTGATGAAAGGGAGGAGGAGAGAAGAAAGGCAGATGAACAGCGAAGAAAGAAATATCAGAACTACAGACTACTCAGGGAGGAAAGATTAACGAAGATCAGGAAAAAGTAAGTATTCAACGGAACTAATATAAGTTACCCTCCATTTTAAATAGAGATTGTCAGATTCACAGCTGATTCATTTAAACCTTTTATATTTGAGACATAACAATAACTATTCTCTTCATTGTCTCTTCTGCAGAAACGTTTGACATTGAATAAATGTCATTAATCCTTGAATAAACAAAAGTTTAAAGAGTACTGTTGTGAATCTGACCTGCCACTCTAGAAATGATCTCTTGAAATTACGTGCACGGTCCCTTTATTAGGAGGGAAATGTTGAATGCACTTTTCTTCCTTACTTCTAATTCAGTTTTTGAAATACAAGATTTATTAACAAAACCTAAGTTTTATATTTGCAATATTGAATTAAGTGGTTACAAAGGTATTTTAAAGGTCAAATGCATGGGTCTTCAGTTGTTCTTTTCTGACTAAAATGTTGTGAACATATTATTTAAGTTTTGTTTTATTATTAAGAGAATTCAAAGTTTGAAATATCTAAGGTTTTTTTTTGTTACTTCCATGTCCTCTCAAAAGATAGCGACCAATGTGAAAATATTATTATATAATTGTTTTATTATGAAATATCTAGGTATAGTATAGAAAATATTATTATATAATTGTTTTATTATGAAATATCTAGGTATAGTATAGAAAATATTATTATATAATTGTTTCATTATGAAATATCTAGGTATAGTATAGAGAATATTATTATATAATTGTTTTATTATAAAATATCTAGGTATAGTATAGAGAAGGGATGTGGTTCCTCCCCAAGTATGAATCTGATAGATGATGTTAAAAAACAATTTTCGGTAAAATATTATTATCTTCAAAGTATTGTTTATCATAATTGAATACATACCTACATTAATTTAATAATTCATAATCAATAATAACATTTTAGATTTTAATTTTCATTGTTAGTATCATGAATTTGATTACTTGTTTATTGTTAATATCATTTTTTTCCAATATTCAATTATCATGTTGTAACTTTTATCATTATTTTTTTATTATTATTTCTTATTTAGACAGTTATCATTTATGTTATTAATGGTTATGGTATTAATCATTATCATTATCATGATCGCAATATCAATACGATCATTTCAATAATAAAGTTTACTATTATTATTATTATTATTTAAGGGACAGACCGGCTATGTAAGGTAGTTAAACTGAGTATGCAGTGTTGTGGACAAACTTATTCAGGATTCATTTTAGACATACAAAACTTTTTCACGATGTATAATTACTGAGTTTGAGTGCAAGTCGACGTTCAAAATTATGAGTTCAACTACCTTACATAGCCGGTCTGTCCCTTTAATAATATAATCATTATAATTCTTTATTATTATTATCATTATCATTATCAATGTTATTATCAGTTGAACCCCAGAGAGGTAGATGAGCTTGAGCAAGGAGTTAAACGTCTAGAACTGAATCGACAAATGTCCACTGATCGTCTAGAGCTGGCAACTAAGAAGGTATAAATAAAACACTAAAAGGGATTCATGTGGCGTACAGTCCCGTTTACCTTATTTAGTCTGTATGTGTATTGTACTGCTTGCTTCACCCGGTACTTGAAATGAATAGGAGTTTACAGTGAAAAAATATGAAAGACTTGAAGAATATTAAAAAATAAATAAATAAGAAAAGTTTGAAGAGTAATTTAAGATTTAACGGAATTTAGACGTAATTACAATGACCTACGAGTGGCATGTCCTAATTACAATATTTTGTCTTTAGAATAACCCTGGGTCAATATAATTTTTTTCTTTAAAATTTTTCTAATTAAACTTACAAAAAAACATCATGAATTTTTTTGATTTAAAAAATGGGTCAGCGTAAATCGCAACAATCATTATTATTATTTTTGAAGGACTCAAGCTAATGTCCTCCTCAGACGTTCGGTTTTTTCATATAACTTATTCAATTTTAACGGATTTTTATTATTTTAATATTTTTGAATTCAGTGTTTCTAGACGGATTTGGTTCTCATATCGACGAATTACGTCTCCAATTCCTTTTTATCACGCACTTGCATGCAGTTTACAGTACAATCACACGTTTATATTCGCCTATTTTAGGAATATATGCAACTTTAACAGTATTACTCTGAAATTATTTGATTATTTCTTAAAATAAGAACAGATTATATTGTAGTTTAGAGAGTAAATATATTAAATATTTTAGAAGAAGAAGCTTGAAGCTGTGAGAGAACGATGTGGAATCCAGTAATTCAAAACAATGTTTGAAATATTGAATGTACAATAAATTGTAAACTGAACACGGGATATCCTGTTAAATGCATGAGAATCAATTTTCAACCTTTTGTTCGTTTTTGACATAATTTAACATATTTAATATAATTACATTAAGTTAAACTAAATGAAAAGCTGGATTATAGTTTTTTATTTATCTTTAAAACATTTTTTTTACAATTATTTTGAAGATCAAAATCTATAAGGTGTCCCGGGAATAGTTTTGAATGTCTTCGTCTTAGTACTCATTAGATTAATAGACTTTTTGCAGGTTAATTCCTCAACAAATCGAACTCAAATATATTTTAATTTGAAATCAATTTTACTATTGTATGACTGACATATCATATTTTTTATTATTCTCTTAGCAAATTATGGAACAACACATTTTAAACTATTTATCAACGGTCATGTTTCGTTGGACACCCTGTAATTAAATTCGGCATTTTGTTTCCATGTTTATCAGGAACCAGATTAAATAAAAACGAAATATTGTTGAGCTAGGTAAACTATAAGTTGAGCCACATATATTCAGCTTTTGTTGGCGCACAAAAGAAGTGGTTCAACTGGTTCACGCGGTTTTACTACTTTTCCCGCATTCATTAAATTTGATCTCAGATCTTTGAAATGTATGTATTAAACGTGAGGATGTAATATTTATATCTCTGTCCAAATTATAGAATAAATTTATGTTAAATCAAATTTTATTTTATAAAAAAAAATTGCATAATCTAAAGCAAGCGTTTATGTTGTTGTATAAACTCTTCATTAAACACACTGTAAGGGGAATTTCAAGTGACCTCCGATACAAAAATGTCAATGATCGATTGACAACAGTCTTCATTTGATCAAGTATAAATTATAAACGTTTTTAATTTAAAAAAGTGGTTATTTTCAATTGTAGTTTCTCTACAAAACTTACTTTCGCATTTCTACTGCAGGAAAGCTTATTTATGAATTAACAGAATTAAAGACTTTAATATACTAAAAAGTGACATTAATTACCTTGATAACCATAAAACTCTGGAATAGTAAGACGAATTTATTATTATTAGTTTTAACTTTAAAAAGTTCGATGGCCATGAAACACAGCAATTGTGCAGCGTAAACAGACCCATTTCACAATATAAGTGATTTAATAAGTGTCTGGTAAAACTATTTGCTTAGTAAAACCAACAAATACACTTAAGTATTGCTTTAATGACGTCTTCCTATTCCATTTTTTTCTGGTTATCACTGTATCTTCCACGTTTTTGCATGGATTGGAGGCTCCCTTGAAATTACGCTTACACACACTTTGAAAAAAATTATTTTTGATAAATTTTTTGCTATGACTGATCCAAGACTGAACACAAAAATTGGGCCTACGTTTTGACGTTCAAAAACAAACCAACAGACGAGCTACATATACCGCTAAATAGTTGGAGCCTACATAGTTTCTCTCATAGATTAAGTAAAATAACAGATAGGACACTAGATGTCGTCTTTTCAAGATTTAGTAGTATTTCGTTCACAATAACCCTGAGGCAGAAGCCCAAAGGAGTTACGCGTATAATCTGAGTAAAACAGGCTCTCTCACTGTCTTGTAATTCTACAGAGAGAGAGCCTGTTCTACGCCGACTACGCGTAAATCCTGTGGGCTTCTGCTTCAAGGTTATTGTGAACGAAATACTTCTAAATCTTGAAAAGACAACATCTACTGGTATATTTTTTTTTATTTTAATTAATCAATGGTTTCTCTAATCTCTATATAGAATTACAGAAGAACGGGGAATAAAATGCGACACTTATTTTCATAATATTTGGAACCAAGGTTATTTGTTAGATCTCTGAGGGACTCAATGATATACCAGAGGGGGGTTTGAGATTTAAAGTGAATAACATTGTAAAGAGCTGGTGTTAACATGGACATGGACATGGACATGAATAGTTTTTGCATACCCAAAAATCATTTTTATTAATAATGCAACCCCTGTGGTCTAAATTAATTTTACTAAAGGAGAAAAAATAATATTATCAGGTTTATAGGAAGATAAGAAATCTGAGTTCAACATAATCCAGTTAATATAAAATATTTCAGCTTAAAGTATAGTTTCATCTTGACTTAAAATTTAATCTACTTCAAATATAGTTTAATCAAATTTGATTTGTGTTGTAGCATACTGCAATACTAACCATTAACCTGGTGTAAAAGTAGGTTTCAAATCGGAATTCCGTAAAATTGCGCGGAATTAAAGGAATTACAATTGCACGCAGTAAACCACTTAAAAAGTGGAAACCCTATTTAAAGTGAGTCAGAGTCAGTTTTTGCATTGATGCTGACTTGAAGAGGTGCTGCTGGATGTCATGCTGACTTGAAGAGGTGCTGCTGGATGTGATGCTGACTTGAAGAGGTGCTGCTGGATGTCATGCTGACTTGAAGAGGTGCTGCTGGATGTCATGCTGACTTGAAGAGGTGCTGCTGGATGTCATGCTGACTTGAAGAGGTGCTGCTGGATGTCATGCTGACTTGAAGAGGTGCTGCTGGATGTCATGCTGACTTGAAGAGGTGCTGCTGGATGTCATGCTGACTTGAAGAGGTGCTGCTGGATGTCATGCTGACTTGAAGAGGTGCTGCTGGATGTCATGCTGACTTGAAGAGGTGCTGCTGGATGTCATGCTGATCATGGGATGGAGGGAGCACAAAGTACAAGAGAAAAAAAATAGAGGGAAAGAGTAAATTTTAAATGGAACATTCACTTTTTTGAATAATTTCAGAGTACACTAAATTGCCTATAGCTGTTAGCTATTTATTGGTTAAAAATCCGAGTTAAAATAATGTGTAATTTTACCAGACAAGAGTTAAAATAATGTCTAATTTTACCAGACAAGAGTTAAAATAATGTCTAATTTTACCAGACAAGAGTTAAAATAATGTCTAATTTTACCAGACAAGAGTTAAAATAATGTCTAATTTTACCAGACAAGAGTTAAAATAATGTCTAATTTTACCAGACAAGAGTTAAAATAATGTCTAATTTTACCAGACAAGAGTTAAAATAATGTCTAATTTTACCAGACAAGAGTTAAAATAATGCCTAATTATACCAGACAAGAGCTAAAATAATGTCTAATTTTACCAGACAAGAGATAAATTAATGTCTATTTTAACCAGACAAAGAATGGAAAAATCCTACTGTTTGTCCCTTCTCTTCCTCGTTCTCTGTTCAGTTTTCTTTACTGCTACAGGTAACATTCTAATAATTTCAAACAAAGTTAAATATTTACATTATTTATCAATAGATGTATATAAAGCTGTAATCTCTCTCTTGGTGTTTGTTTTTTGTGCAGTAAGAACAAGAAAACTGTGGAATATAAAGAGGAAATTAACAAAATAATAATCAAGAGAATTTGATCGATAATGTTAAAAAACAAAGAGTTTTACTAGTAACTTATCAAATCACTTGTTAAGTGAAATGGGTCTGTTTACACTGCACAATATCTGTGTTTCATGTTCATTCGACCATCTAATGTCATAACTTGAGTCTATATGTCGTTTACTGTATCTCACGGTGTGTCCGATCTAATTTTTAGTTCTAGTTCAAATGTATTTTAAAGGTTGTGGCTCATCAGAAAAAATCTATGAGAATTTTGCCAATCATTTCTAAAAAAAGAAACCTAAAAACAAGTGCTTTATAGTGTTAAATACATAAAAGTATTTTACGAGTTAGAGCGGTAAAATTAAATCCAAAGGTTTATAAATGTTCTAAGTCGACCCTGGTTCAAAAATGGGAATGATTCATATTCCATATGGAGAGGGTCAACGTAGAAAGAAAGTGATTCAAAATGATCAAATTTAAATCTCACAAGTCATATATGATAAAAAAAATATTAATTGAGTAGAGAACAAGTTGTTTTAATCTGAAATAGTATTAAGTCAAAAAGAGATAAGAGAGAAACCTTGAACTGTTCCCGAAACCTTGAACTGTTCCCGAAACCTTGAACTGTTCCCGAAACCTTGAACTGTTCCCGAAACCTTTAACAAATATTTTTTTTTTCCTCCTTTAGAACAGATTTTCCAATAAAATATTTATTATATTTCTTTTCTGAATATGGTTTTTTTTAATTTTAGATTTGTAGTGCTATCAATATTTTTTTATCAATCGCGGATTTATTGGAATAATAACAATTTGCTTTCAACAATAACTCCTTTTCTGATGAGCTATTGACAAGAACAAACAAGTAACCAAAATTAATTTTCTTTTTCATGTTGAACGTAAAGGTCATAAAGTCGACAGTGCAAATAATTTTGCAAAATTTTGACCCTGTTATGTCCAGGTTGAAGTATATACATTTATTTCTCACCCTGTAATATTCAGAAAGCAGTGAGATTGAGAACAGTTTAACCTGCTCCCTGTGTAAATTGGTAATGACAGGGCTAGATGAAGCTATACTAGATCCAACCAACGAACAAGTAAACAGTCCTTTATTTATTCAAGGGGACTCATTAAACTGTGGAATAGGAAGACGACAGTTCAGGGAACATTAGTTTTACCAGGGTTAAGTGACCTTATGTCCTGTTTCTAAATTTGAGTGCTGTTAGAGTCAAGTTAAAAAATTGCTTTAATTTCGTCTTCCTTTTCCACAATTTTATAACTATCACTGTACTTTTTATGTGCGTCAAAAATAATGGTGATTTTCACCATTATTTATTTTACATATTTAATTTTTAGCATTTTCATTAAAAAAACAAACATGTGCCTGATTTTCGAGACGCACACACTTGTATGCCGAGTCCATTAGCTCCTGATCCAATCAGGGTTCAGTCCTGTGTTTGTTGTCTATTCTGAACCAAAAGAAATTGCACATGGCGGTAACAACTATCTTTCTATCTATCTCATCATCCAATTCGAGATGAGTCCTTAAACCGGCGCTGAGCAGTAAATGGAAATGTTTTCTTCTACTGAAACTGAGGTGGATGGTATTCTTGAAACCTATTTGATCTACTTCTACTGAAACTGAAGTGGATGGTATTCTTGAAACCTATTTGATCAAGAATGTGAAAGATATCTTCGTTTTTAGGATTTATAAAGTGTTAAATTCTGAAAATCTCTAGATTATTGATCAGACAAAGCTTTTAGGGGTAGATCCCGCTCTAGAAATGGAGAGTCACTTTATATATGACATGACAGTTGGTAAAAGCTTAAAATGTCTTCTTCCATAGTTTGTAAAGTTGTTTGAACCCCTAGAGAATACTATAAAAATTTGCATGCCAGCCATATCAAAGTAAAATTGATTTCAAGTAAAATATATTTGAGTAAAAGATTTTTAAAACTAAATAAACTGCAAAAAGTCTATAATATCGAATACAGTATATGGAAGAAGACATTCAAAACTATTCAACAACTGTCATGTTTCGTGGGACACCCTGTACGTCTACATTCTCTTTAAAGGGAGCTTCTAATGAAACTTTAAATAAAAAGTTGTCCAATCTTTATAATATTGCGTATCAAATAAATGCATTATACAACTGTTTAGCACTGGTTGTTGTGCTAAATGTGCTCTTACGCGCACTTTCCTAAAATATTTTCGGTCAAAATATTAAAATTTACACTGAAGACCACTTTTCTAAATATTTTCGGTTTAAATATTTAAATGTTTTCTAAATATAATTGGTTTAAATATTAAAATGTTTTCTAAGTATGTTCGGTCCAAATATTTAATTTTTCTTAAATATTTTCGGTTCAAATTTTCTCTTTCTTATTTTCTTACCTTGTTTTTGTTCTTGGTATAAATATAAACAACAGTTCTAATTTTATAAAAGAAATCTCTATTTATCAAAGGCACATAATTAATTATTGAATGTTTATAAGATTTGCCTTACTTATTATCTATTGAGTATTGACGTCAAAATATATCATAATATTATATACTAAATATATACTAAATATATCATAATATTAAATACTAAATATATACTAAATAAACATAAAAATACACTGTAAAATGTGCAAATTTTACCATTTTAGATAAATGGTAAAGGGAGTGTTCGCGAAAAAAGAAACGTTGTATTGGCTGAATCCTAATAAAATTCGGATTTGATCGTTACAAATTCTACATCTTTCTATAGTGTCTGTATTAAGGTTTCCAATCGGAATTCCATTGCGCGGAATTGTGCGCAACTCTTTTAGCATTGCACGGAATAGTGAAGAATTGCGTGGAATTGTGCGGAATTGCGAAAAAATTACAGAGTCTGCAATAGCGCACAAGACAAATCCACTTGCGTTGGAAACCCATAGTCTGTATACAGATGAAATCATTGAAAACGCCTAATGTTAATAACAGGAAAGTCCAATAAAACGCCTAATGTTAATAACAGGAAAGTCCAATAAAACGCCTAATGTTAATAACGGGAAAGTCCAATAAAACGCCTAATGTTAATAACGGGAAAGTCCAATAAAACGCCTAATGTTAATAACGGGAAAGTCCAATAAAAGTGGCGGAAAATATGCGAGGGAAGAGATAAGGAGCTAATGATTATCAAATTTATTTTAAATCAACGAAATTTAATGAATATTTAAAAAAAATACACTCGATTGCATGTTCTTTAGTTACAAATATTACAATAAGTTAACTACATTCAATGACCAGAATAAAGTTCGAAATATCACGGGCAGCCGTAGTACATTTGAATTTCAAAGCCGGATCAACTTTTCCGGTCCCAGTTTGTACTGTATCGCCCGGACAGTGGGTAAATGAAGCAGTCACTCATTAGGACTAGCCGGTTTAACAAGGTTGACGCGGTCAGACTTTAGGTTGAATTTACTTTTACTGAAGGGTCAGTTTTAATATTCAATTAGGATCAGTTGTAAATTTAATTGAATAATTTACAGTTTGAGTATAATGCAAAAATTCGGATTCAAACTAGATACCCCTTTTCATTTGTTGTTCGTGTAGATTGTTCTTACATTATATCTATTTTAAGCTAGTCAATAGATTTTTATATTTATCAATTAAAGTTTTTATTTTTAACATCAAATATTAATTTAGGAAATCAGGGATTGGTTACTCCAGGTCTGCAACTATATTACTGGACAGGTACAATAGGCCCCATACAACTATGGATTAGGAAGACGACTGTTGTATTGAAGTTAGGATGTCCTTAATTGCAGTCCAATGACCAGGAAATACGGCAATTGTAACGTGTCAGACACTTTTCACAGACCCATCCATGCATCTTCTATAAAATAAAGCTCTTAATGCACATTTACATATATATCTATTTAAAGAATTAGCTTTTCAAACTAAAACATTGTAATATATTTCAGAATCTCACTATTCACGATATTTTAGATTGGGGCAATATTTACATATATAATATGTTTATAATTTCTATACATATTAGCCTCAGATCAAACGGCTGAATCAAATTGGCTTAATTGTTTTGAAGGGGTAACATGGGCAAAACAATATAGTTTTCAAAATTCGAATGTTTTTAAAGGTTTACTTTCTCATGGTAAAACTATTTGAATTAAAACCACATATGACACTGCTTGAATGTCGTCTTCATATTTCACAGTTGTATGGGTATAAGGAACTGTAGTGGACAACACTTGTAATTACCTTAATATGTAATATGTTTTTTAAATCATAAAAATAAAATTTGTATGGCTAAAGGCACGCTTCAAAGAAACTGTAATTGTATAATTTCAAGTACCTTTTTATTTCAAAAAAATGTTTTTTTAGATTTAACCCTTAAACTCTTTATCTAATTAATGCTATGTAAGATATCGTCGCGTTTCCAGCTGAAAAGTGACAATTTTTACCATTTCTTCAGTAGGCCAAGGAAATCCGCGATTGCCACTTTTATGGAGAAACCGTATTGGAGAATAATCAATTTTGAAAATTTAAACATTTCTTCAGTAGGCCAGAGATCCCCAATATTGCAACGTTTATGGAGAAACCGTATTTAAAAATAATCAATTTAAAAAATTTAAAAAGGATATCTAAATTATTCAGTATTTTTAACCAGAGAAAAATTTACTTTTTCATTGTTACGACTCAAATTAAGGTTTTAAGAGGGGTATTGTTTCTTATTAAACAATAAACAGTATACGTTTGCTATAGTTATATAGATATAAATATATACAGAATAGTTGGAAAGCTGAAGCACTGGTTATAAGATCATTATTTTATAATTAGAAGGTTTATCCAGATAATTCTATATTAAGAATATTAAGAAAATTTCAAGTCAGAAATATATTTGCTTCTACGCAAATAAATGTTAAAAATTCTTAATTAACTGTGGTGTACAGGTACAATACATCAATATGCTTCAACCAGGACACGATCCACACGGCTACAATCCCGTGAACTATTAACTATTTTTTGATCAGAAATATTCAGTGCTCCCCAAAATAAAATGGTCAGAAAAAAAACAACTTCTTGTAAATATGTAGTGCTCGCTAAAATAAACAAATAAATAGAGTCGACTCTTCAAATATACAGTGCTCCCCAAAATAAAATGGTAAATGAAATCAACTTCTCATAAATATACAGTGCTCCCCAAAATAAAATGGTAAATGAAGACAACTTCTCATAAATATACAGTGCTCCCCAAAATAAAATGGTAAATGAAGACAACTTCTCTCAAATATACAGTGCTCTCCGAATAAAATGGTAAATGAAGACAACTTCTCATAAATATACAGTGCTCCACAAAATGAAATGGTAAATGAAAACAACTTCTCATAAATATTCAGTGCTCCACAAAATAAAATGGTAAATGAAGACAACTTCTTATAATATACAGGACAGCAATGCCTTTTCCCAATCAAAATGTCGTCTTCATTTTCCACTTTATTCTTGGTACCACTACATTCTCTTCTCATGAATGTCGTCTTCATTTTCCACTTCAGTCTGAAAACACATAAAAATGTTTATTTTCCACTTTATTCTGAGGACCACTGCTTTAACTGCAAAATTTCGTCTGCACTTTCCTCTTCATTTAGGGGAATACCGCATTTTTTTTAAAATGTCGCCTTCATTTCACACATTCATTTGTTCGTTGAAACTTCCTCTGAGTACCCCGTTTTTTAATTTCCAATGTTAACTCTATTTCATGTCTTTTTGAGACACTTTATTTTTCCCTGAGACACATTATTCTATTCTAAGACATTTCATTTTGGGGAGCACTGTATTTAAAGATAAAGTTATATTCACTGTCCATTTTATTTTAGGAAGCACTGTATATTTCTGAAAAAAAATAAATTGTCCCTGCAGACATGCACAATGTTCCGCCTGCATTTTCTGAAATGTCCCTTTTCTTGTTTGTATGTTTTGTAACAACAACGTACTGTAAGTGCTGGCAGAACGTTAGCCTGTTAGGGTCCCCGAGAGAACGTTAGCCTGTTAGGGTCCCCGAGAGAACGTTAGCCTGTTAGGGTACCCGAGAGAACGTTAGCCTATTAGGGTCCCCGAGAAAGTTTGCTGTAATAAATTAAGCTAATAACATTTATTATCATTACACTATCTCGCTCCTTTAATGTCCAGGATATGTTAAAAAACCAAATTAATAATAATGATAATGATAAGCTTAAATGTTTTACAAAAAAAATTAATTTCTCTAAAATATAAAAAAATATTTTCCTGCAAAATACGCCTTGTTGCTATACCTAGCGGTTTTTATACGTTCTGTTTTATAATGCTTGACCATAGAGAATAGAATATATATTAGAGTGGAATTTACTAGAAAAAAGTGTAAAACGGACATTTTGTGTACTGTTTCCATACTGCAGGTGTACTATACATATTTGCGCTATATAACCTGTTGGGCCCTGGAACATCATTTTTTAGAAAATTTAAAATAAATATTAAAAGAAAACCAAATTATGAAATAGGATGTTTTCATTATTGACCAATGATCATCTCACATAGACTATATGCCTTTCACTAAACAAACGATAATTTTCCGTTATAACTATAAATCAAATGATGTTTTTTATTCACCTCATTCATTTTATAAAGTTTATTTAACAGCTTTAAAAAATTCAAAATTGAAATGGATAATCTAGGGAACATAATGTAATAATAAATTCTACTGCATATAATTTGTAAACATTTACATGATTTGTACACTTTGAACTCCCTTTCAGGCTGAAAGGGACTGAAAAAATTCATTCTGAGGGATTGTCTAAATTCCCCTCTAATATATATTCTATTCTCTTTGTGCTTGACTCCCGTAATACACTTCATGGCCAAGGAAAAGCATGTTTTTGTGTATGTTTGAAATATCAATGAGCAAAGTATGAATATCTATGTAATAAAACAAGACATTAGTATTCCCAATAACCGGCCAAACAGCTGTACCGAATGGGCTTTAAATTTTTTTGTTCGACATTTTTTCTTTCAAAAATCATTTTTTTTCTTCAAAAATCAAATTTTTAAATTCGATTAAAAAAATCTATATGCGACTCTGGGCACTTGAGCTAGTATAAAATATATACGAACAATGTTACCCACAAATGACGCCTTGTTGCTATACGTAGCTGTTTCTATACGTTGGATTTCTAAAAGGTTTGACTCCGAAACAAAACTCTAAATATCTAAAGGTTAATTTTTTGTCTTTGGATTAAATATGTTCTTGTAATTATTAATGACTTGCAGTTGCAAGGAAGTCTAGCAGCACAACAGCTGTTTTTTAGGGAGCCATCAATCCAAGTAAAAGGCAAGATTCCCTTAAGTCGTCTTTGAAGTTTCATCTTTTGTGGGCAACCCTGAAAAATTTACTTTACCCAGATGAAAATAAAATTCTGTGGTAATTTTAAGTAAATTAAATTGAAATAATATTAATGCATAATATATAGAATTAGAGTTAGAGAGAGTTAATTAATTAAAAGAAATAAGAAAATACCGGATTAGCGTTGTATGATAGTTAAAACCAACTTTTTTGTTGTTATAAAGATTGAAATGTAATTCTTTAACAGTAAATCAATGTTTATCATTTCGTTACGTAAAATTTGGTGCAAATTTGCAGTACAAATTTTCGCTAATTTTTTGTATATCTTTTGTTATTTATAGCATTTTGGGATAAAATAAAATTTAACATTTCCCATCTAATTCTATAGAAAGGGAAAAATTACAATGGATGTTCCTTTTTTTCTCCTAAGTACCAAAAAATATTTTTGCATTGTTTTAATTACATTTTATAATTTTAAAGCACACAAGATACCCTGCTTAATGATTTTGTTAATTAAATTTTATAGTTTTACAGCACACAAGATAAACCCTGCTTAATGATTTTACTGTTGTTTACGACAACGCTAATCCTGTTTTTAATTAGTCACCCTGTATCACGTGTTTTTTTAGTTTGAGACGATATGCCAGGAGTTTATTTTAGAATACACAGGTAAGGGTACAATAGTGGGGTACACTGTAAACTCTGGTTGATTTAAAGTACCGGGCCGTCTGTGAAGCATCTAGAGCAAGCTGTACAATACATATACAGACTGTGTATGGCAAAATTGTTACAGCACAACAAATAACTACAAATAGATTAACCCTATCCCTGCTGGGGTACTTGAAAACCAGGATACGCTGGGGTCCCAGCAGGAATAGGGTTAAAGATTAAAGCATAAAGATTATAAGTGTGTCGACAATGAGAACTTTTCAAATGTTAGATATTTATCAACTGTCAGAATATTCGTCATAACAAAATTGTAAGATTAGGATTTCAAGCACTTGGAACAGCTGAGATTAAAACTTTTTTTGATAAGTTTAATGTAAGACATATAGCTATAAATTTTTTGTCTTTATAAACTGGAGTTTCAATTTCCATGCTTTGTTAATATTTTTCCTCAATATGATTACTTTTCTTTTAATTTGTTTTTTTTTGGCTAAATCGATCGGGCCCAAATTTTCTGTGGATCTTACATAACCCCAAGAAAGGTTGATGGACGACGAAAATTTCAAAACTTTGCCTTTAACAAAATTCGATTTTCATTAAATTTTGATCATCTCCGAAATTTTTTTTTCTTAAATCCGCGAACATTTTTTGGTCTTGTTTTACAATGTATACAAAGAGAAAATTTTCACATTCAAAATAGAAAATGGGCTTGAAAAGCCTAGTATTTTATACATTCCATGGGGGTCAGTGTAATGGGACAATTAAGATGATCATTTTTTAGATTAATTAAACAACTTAATTTTAGATATGATAATTTAGATGATATTATTGAGTCAGTAGTTGGTGGATACCTGGATCCTGATACTGTGTGCACTGCTATATCTGCCTGCCCATGAATATATTAAAGGGACTGTAAGCGTTATTTTAAGTGACTCTATATATAAAGATGGCAATGTCCGACTTACAACAGTACCATTGAAAACCTTTATCTGATCGATATTGAAGAAAATTTATCTTTGTTTAAAAGTGTTCAACTCTGATAATTCCTCTATGTTTTTTCTGCAGTCGAAATGCGTAAGTCACTCGAAATTACGTTTATAATCCTTTTTAACACTTTTTATAAACTTTATTAAACATGAAATAAAAATTAGCTCATGTAAAATACGAACTTTTGTTATAATTGTAAAATCAAGTATACTAAGAATTACAAATACATGACCAACACAGACAAGAGGGCGCTACGACATCTGCTCTAAGTCCATTTGCTCTATGGCCATTTGCTCTATAACTCATAGATCACGACGTTTGCGCTATATGTCATCTGCTCTATACGTCAATTGATCTATGACATAACACGTCATTTGCTCTATAAACATTTTTATGACTGATGGTTCAATTGCTCTACTCAACATTTGCTCTATGTAAAGATCGTCTAAATGCACTGGAAGTCTTTGCCATTAGCTGGCCGCCCTGTTGCCTAAGATTATTGGCTATTTCTGAAAGAACTACTCTGGGAGGCAAAGCTGGGTTTTCTATTGCTTTATTCAGCGCATCACATTCAGCTAACACGAAATTTAACTGAGTAATATCTGATGGATGGCAGTGCTCAGGCAAGTTCAGAATATCTTTACCATCTATATTCAAGACATCTCCAGTACTGATAGACACCCTGTTTGTTTAAAGTAGAATAAATATAGTTTTCACCACATATTAGGTTTTTTTACCCCTCTTATTATTGAGTAGTCTCTCTTTCATGATGAACTTTGAAGAACTGATTAAAACTGTAATTTGCGAATTTTCCCCCAAAAAATCCCGCATTTCATAGTCAAGTTACGCTCAGGAATTCCAATAAAAGCCATTTTATAGTGTATTTTTAGGTTATAGAGCAAATGATGTGTTTAGTCATAGAGCAAATGAGGTATAGAGCAGATTGAATATAGAGCAAATGACTTGATAGATCAAATGAAACTAGAGAAAATGACCATAGAGCAAATGGAAATAGAGCAGATGTCGTAGCGCCGACAAGAAAAGTATACAATTCAACTCAAAACTTAAAGTATATTAAAACATATTTTAAAGGATTTTTTAATATTCGAACTAATATTCTATATTTAAGTTAAATAATTGATTGCTTTTTGTTTAGCGTTCTATCATTTTGTTTGGTAAATAACAGCATTTTAACCAGAGAGTAAGGAATAGAAGGGAGATATAACTGACGCGGTTCGCCCTACCATATGATTACACATGCTTTGCAGACGGGAACTCCATTTGTATAAGAAATATTTGTCTGATGTACAATTACCGCGTATACAATAGCCTATTCTGAATATTTTTATACAAATGGAGTACCCGTCTGGAAACCACGCATAATCATATGGTAGGACGGGCCGCGTCAGTTATATCTCCCTTCTATTCCTTACTCCCTGATTTTAACGCTTATAAGGATATGAAATCCAACACGTAATATTAAATCTCCTTTAAAGAAGCATCACTGAAAACTTGGGTTAAACTTGAAGTACCCATAGAACTATGCGGCAACTTATAGAGCAAGTAGAGAATGAATAAAACTATAGGCGGCAAAACAGAACAGCTAGCACTTATTCATATTTTATTCAACTAGAAAGCACGAGACAATACAAATAAAAAATCCCAATTTACCATGTAGTTTGGACCCGCCCAACCAGAGTTGGTTGTTTTGGGTGGTTGGCCCATTGTAAGCGAATAAGAAATGTAAATAAATAGATGGCTGTACACTGTACATTTAAACAAAACAATGATGATAATTCATGAATAAGGTAAGGAGGGGGTGAAAAGTATAAGGGAAAGGGTGGGTACTCAGCGGAAGGGTTGTAACAATTACAGGGTGAAGAAGATAGCAAAGACTAAGTTTATCCACATGAAAAACAAGTTATTTTTTAATACAGATATAACTTGCATAACTATCTAAATAGTTTTTGGAGATTTTCCTTTTAAACAGTTTTGAAGATTTAGTTTCTTTATGTACAGGGTGTCCCAATAAACATGGGAATTCAGTGACGAATTTTATATCGTCTTTTTAGATATTTCTTTGATTTAGTATAGTGATACCTACTGAGAAAGCTGTAATCTGTGAGAGTTTGTCTGCTATGTTCACATTTTGTTTGTTTATGTTTTGACTGCAACCGGTTGTACTTTGTAAAACAAGAAAATTACAGTATACAAACAGAGTAAACTTGTCCGTATTCACTGTTCATCTTGCGGAGACATTATAGACACATCTTTGTAGTCTTTTACCCTTTTCATAAAATCAACTTTAGCAGACATAATAATATTATGGCTTTTGAAATTAGGTATTACAATGCTAATTCATAACAAAGACGTTATCGAATTCGTCACTGAATTCCCATGTTTTTTGGGACACCCTGTATCTCAATTTTTTAAATCAAAACATCTAAATATCTAAAGAGTTTTGTCTGCTATGTTCACATTTTGTTTGTTTATGTTTTGACTGCATACGGTTGTACTTAATAAAACAAGAAAATTGCAGTATACAAACAGAGTAAACTTGTCAGACTTCACTGTTTATCTTGCAAAGACATTATAGACACATATTTACAGTCTTTTACCCTTTTCATAAAATAAACTCTAGCAGACATGGCTTTTGAAATTAGGTATTACAATGCTAATTCATAACAAAGACGATATCCAATTCGTCACTTAATTCCCATGTTTTTTGGGACACCCTGTATCATCAAGATTTAAAAGTTGTAATCTGAAAAATATTGGATCTAGATGTGTTTTAAAAGAACTATTATTTACTGCTCTAATTGCCCTTCATATGGCCCATTTGTAATTAATTCCAGAATCCCGAAGAGAAGTATTTTTATTTTGCTTAAAATTAAATGTTTAGCACATTAACTTTAAGTGAAACTTCAGAAAAAATTGGCAAGTTTACCACAAAAATTTACTTTATTAAAAATGGAAAGATTAGCAAAACAAAAATTATTATAAAATAAAATTATAAACATAAATCTCCGTGCCTCTGAGCTCATGTATGATAATAAAAAATACAAATAAATTGGATTCCAGGAAAGTTTCCCATTAATTTTTGACGATGAAGCTCTCAGCTTTACTTTAAAAAATACAAGTAGTTAATAAAAATCTAATGAATCAGGAGTTTTTAGGGTTTTCCTACACATATTGCTATTTAGGTTTGAAAAGATCCCAATATTTCTATTTTACATAGAAAATAGATTTTTTGTAAAAAATACAACATAAGTTATGTTTTATGTCGTGAACGGCTTTTATTTAAAGTAAAATAAATAAGCTAAAAATTAATAATAAGGTACACTTTATTCTACTTTTTGTTGATGTATTTTTATCAATCTCATCAAAAAATGAGGAAACGAAAACGTTTTCAAAAACGTAAATACAAATACATAGTCAATGAAAAACCTCACATTTTACATAAATGCTAGAGTTTCCCGGATCCTGAATTCTAATTCTTACTTAAATACCTCAATTTATCAAGGAAAAAGGAACAATAAAAAAGATTAATTTTAATCCTGCTGAACTCGATGTATTTAAAATATAATAATTAAATAACTCTATTATTACAATTACATTTAATTAAATCATAGAGAACTAATTTTTCATATTAATGAATTTCTTCAAATAGTTAAAAAAAAATATTTTTAGTTTAAACTTTAAATTTATTGATCAAAATATCAAGTCTAAAAAAATCACATTTAACTGATCACAATTATTTAAAAATTGAAAAACAAACTTTAATATTAACTTTTGCATTATTTCATTTTGTCTATTCTTCTACTTCATTTATAAATAAACAACAAAATAGGTTTTGTACACCGTACACTGTACAACGGTACAATACATACGTACACTGTACAACAGTACAATACATATAACAAGAAATGAAACAAATATTTAAGACTCTAGATATTTTATGTATAAAGTCAAACTAATAAGTAAAGTTAAGCAAAGTTTTAATTCAGTAATATAAAATGGCTGTTCTAAATTTTGTAGTTTGACCGTCCCCCCCCCCCCCCCCCC